GGAGAGAAAGTATAAAAGATAATTATTCCAAGCCACTTGCGTTCATATTTTTTTATTTATTTATCCTTTCAGTTCACTTGGGAGACCATTAATCGCCCCCTCTCCCCCCACCAGACCCCTAGCCTGCACCCCCATGAAGAAACAAGACCTCTGAAAAGAGAAGTAAATTCTCCAAAATGACATATCAGGAGAATAAGACGGACAATAAGCCTACACTCTGGGATTCCACCAGACGGTAAAGCTTCAGGAAGAAAAATCCATTTCCATCCCTCGACTCCCTTGAGCTCCAGGCAGCTCCAAGGTACTGTGATTGCTGCGCCCCCCCACCATCCCCTCCATGCTTGGCAGGGAGGGGGAGACTATCTCATAGCTCTTATCAGACTCTATTGAGCCGGAGCTTTAACAAGCCGCAGCAATCTGTTATTTTCCTCTTGTTTGCCTTGCAAGTTGCTCTTTTAATTCACATCAAGAGAGGGAAGGAAAGATGAATATTAAAAGCTCACATCAAGGGACAGAAGGAGGCAGGGAGATGGGGCGCTCCTTAGTATACAGAGACAGAAGCCTGTTTGACATGAGGCAGGATCCAGGCCTGAGCTGCTCTGGTCTCTGACAAGCCCACCCTTGGGGAATGCTGCTCGCTAGACTGGTCTGCTGTTGGGAGAGGGTGTTTCTGGAATTGTCTGAACTGTGGGTTTGGATCACTCTAGAATGACAGCAGAAAGATACTGTATTACTGAGTCCTGAGAATGGTTTGTTCTGGAATAGGGGGTGAGACATGGGGAAAGTGTGTATGTAAGGGGATACATACTTAAAAAAAAAATTGCAAATTTCCATTGGTCTGGGATGATTAGTGTGTAAGGACTTTGGATGGATATGGCCTTGATGTCAACAGTACCAACATTTTGTGATACTCAGTAGTGAGGCTCAGATTCACGAGTTTCTTCCCAAGTTGGCTGAAAATTTGGGACAGAGACGAGCAAATGTTTGGGACTTGTTTGTCATTGCCTGTCCAGATGACTTGATAAGAGACTTTTCTGATCTGCAAATCTGAGAACGAGGGAGAAAGATCATCTCATCACCAGGTGCTGCCAAATATTTTCACCATCAGAGACACACTCAGCTTGTAATTGCTGATTCAGCTAAGGTTAGTTCCTCTGGGAGAGGTCAGGATTGGCTAATTGTAATGAATGAAGTCCAGGATTGGCTTATTGTTTGTTAAGGGCAATAATTCTGTGCAAAGCTCCAAATTACATAGGGCTGGCACAGTGCACAGAGGGTGGTTAATGTTTAATAGATCTTTGTTTAATGACCAAATGAATGTTCTTGGTTCTTCATTCCTTTATTCAAATGCCCTGTGTCAATTCAACAATATTTATTGAGCACCTACCATGTAAGAAGAACCTGGAAAGTCCTAGGAAGGAATGTAACCTTCTAGTTGTGGCAGGTACCATGAGTGCAGTGGGCAAATCCCCTTAACACTTCTGATTCCTGGCCCCTCACTGGAAAAAGTTGCTATATCCACTGCCTTAGGGCAGAGAATGCAGAGTTTTAAAGTATGGGAGCCCGCGCTATTGGGAGAAGTCTTTAATGACAGGTGGGAGTCTGTCATCACCCCTTAGGTGAACCCTTCAGGTGAACTCAAAGATAACAGCCTCTGAGGTTGTCATACAGTTAGAGGTCCCCAGTTGGCTTTCTGCCCTTCCCTCTTCTTCATTCCCATAGTGCTGGAATCACCTTCCAAATAATTCATGTGCAATCAAATCTTTATTTCAGGGTCTGTTTTTGGTAGAACTTCACCCAAAAGACACAATCTGTAGTAAGTATATTTGATTAGGATGGGGAGAAATTTCACCACTAGCATTGGAAGTAGAGGTGGGCGAAGGGAGGTAAATACTTGAACACTCTTGTGACCGCATTTGGATCCTTGCCTATGAAGGGCTGGCTAGAAGACAAGATTCCTGGAAGTAATATTATAGTGGGTTATAGTGTCCCTCCCAAAATATAGGTCCACCCAGAACTTCAGAAATGACCTTATTTGGAAATAGGGTCTTTGCAGAAATAAGCAGCTTGTACTAAATCCAATGACTGGTGATCTTACAAGAAAGGGGAAAGACACACAGAGATGCCCACAGGGAAGAAGTCCATGTGAAGATGGGGTCAGAGATTGGAGTGATGCGGCTATACGCTAAGAAACATCAAGAATCACCAGAAGCTACCAGAAATTAGGAGGAAGCATGAAATGAGGAGTGAGCATTGCCTGCTGCTACCTTGATTCAGCCTCCTGTACTGTGAGAAAATACTTTTGTGTTGTAGTAAGCCACCCAGTTTGTGGTACTTTGTATGGCAATTATGAAAACAAAATAGATTCAAAATATGGAAAATATTGAGTGTTATGTAAATACAAGGTGGTGATTTTTTTCTGTTGTTGTTTTTCTTTTAACTCCATATTTCTCTTCTCTAGCTTGCCCATAGTGTTCACTAATTAGGTAGGAAACCCTGAAAGGAATCTCAGACTCTCTTCTTTCTGTCTCATGCAGAGCCTCCCTGCCGAGCAGGCCTGAGTCTGGAAAGGCCAGATCTGTATTTGCTGCTGGCAGCTGCCTGTTCCCTGAGTCCAGGCGTGAAGAGGATGCAGTGGGGGCACTGAGGCATGGAGAAATGCCAGCCTAATGCTCACCCAGTGGGCACAGAGGATGTGTTGCTGCTTAATGAAAATTGAAAAATATTTACAAGGTAACTTTAAAAACATTGGTTAGAAAATTGGATAAGAAAAAACAAAAGTGGGATATACTGAGAGAGGAAAGTAATGAGTAGGAATGGAGAGGGAGACTACCTGGGTTCTCCAGTCTTCCTCCAGGGGCATTTTTACTGTTTCCCTTGTTGTTAGCTTTTGATGACTCTATGGAGGTGCGCCCTCCAATTCTGGACATCTGGTCTACTTACCTTGGGTCTCAGCTCATATCTCTTACCACCATTTTGGTATGATTCAGCGAATCAAATACTTTCCCTTCAAATACTTTCCTTCCTTGTTATTCCCTGCTTATTTCGACCAAAATCCAAAATATCTAGGGATTCACATACAAGTATAGTTGATGGGCAATGAAACATTAACCCTTTGCACTCCGAACCATTCTGGACATTGGCTACCAGCTACTCGATGCTACTTTGTGGCGGAAACGTGCATTTACAGACCCTCGTATTATTTAGTATAATTTTGGAACCAAGTAACGTATTATAATGATATTGGACTTATATGAACTGGGTGACATCAAGGAATGTATATTTGCAAAAAAAACCCAATATTTTATTGTTTATAATTTTGTACAGTATGATAAGTTTTGTAACACTCCCCAATATGCATTGCAGGCTGATTAGTGCATGTGTGACAGTAATAAGTGGTTTGACGCCTGCCACCAGGTGTTTTCCTGTTAGAACACACAATGCAGTCCCGTTTTCTTTGTCCCACATCGGGAATATGTAGTCCGACACAAAACCCGCTGACATTTCTTGCATATATCTTAGTAATTTTACGATATTTTGATTTAATTTCTTGTGCCATTTCAAGATAAAACTTCAGGGAAACATGCATGTCTCAAAAAGTTGCATTGAAATAACTCAATTCCCCATAATCACTAATAAATTGCAATGTCCCCTGAGAGGGGACATCCAAGTGATATGCTAGAATTCCGATGTCCCCTGAGAGGGGACAGCGGAGTGCAAAGGGTTAAATTTTGACTTATGTATAAACAATCGTCATCAAAGAAAGTTTTGGTGGGGGAAGAGAAAGAGAGGATACAGTTTCAGCTTTTGACTCAGAGAAAGCAAAGGTGCAACTTTCTTCTTTCCTCCTGAATCCAGATTCCTTTTACACTCGCCACTTCCACCATGCTGCCTAACTTCAATTCCAATGAGACAAAAGTCATATACTTGCGGTGCACTGGCTAAGAAGTCAGTACCACATTTGGCTTGGCCCCCAAGATTGACCTGGGTCTTTCTTTTAAAAAGGTTGGTGATGAAATCTTCAATGTGACCGAAGGGTCTGAGGATGACAGTGAAACAGCATTCAGAACAGACAGACTCAGATTGATGTGGCCTCTTCTGCCTTGGCCCTCCTCATCAAAGCCCTCAAAGAGCCACCAAGAGACATAAAGAAGCAGAAAGACATTAATTAAGCACAGTGGAAATAATCCCTTTTGATGAGATTGTCAACATTTGTCTGGCAGATGAGGCACTGGTTCGTCTCAGCAAGATAACTCTCTGGAACCATGAAAGAGATCCTAAGGATTGCTCAGAATGTGGGCTGGAATGTGGTGGCCTCCAACCTCATGGCCCTTAGAGGACATCGACAGTGGTGTGGTGGAGTGCCTGCTAGTTAAGCTGGCTAAGGACTACAAAGGAAATTAGAGTGCCCGCTAATTGAGTTAAGCTAGCTGAGAACTACAAAGGAAATTATTTCAATAAAAGATCATTTGGCATACAAACAAGAAGGAGAGTAGACAAAGATCTCAGACCCCCTGACTTTTCTCAGTGTGATAGGGCTAAGCACTGCCTCCTCCAGGGACTAGGAACTCAAGGCCAGCTCCTGTGTCTTCTGAAATCAAACTCCTGTTCCATGGGAATCTCCTATACCGTGTTCTACATCCCTTCCAGGGAAGCTCTCATCTGAAGATTTCCCACATTTTGGATTCAACCCAATTCAGACATTTATTCTTCATTTAACTGGAGGCAGAAGCCATAGTTACACACCTTTTCACTGAAGGGCTTACATGGGTTATTTTGTGATGACCTGAAGGTAGGGTTATGACTCCAAGCCATAACCCAAAGAGGATGTTCATCCTGCTTTCTTATGGCTCCTATAATGACAGAACTGGCAAATGAGAAAGCACACTGCCCCAGCAGGCTCATCACATTTGGTCCAGCTTTCTGGCAAAGCCACTGTTGCTCACTAATCCCAATGCCTGCTGTCTATACAGCTCATGTCGCATTAGGTCTAGATTGGGTTTAAAGTCTCTGATAATAATAACAATAAATACTTAGCAGGTGCCATGTCATGTCTATTAGTTCAGCTATCGCTCAGGCATTTTTAAAAGCAGATAGCTGATCCATTTTACATATTTGGAAATGGAAACATATGACACAATTCATAGGTGGCACAGCCAGGAATTGAAATCACCTGTCTTGAATTTTAGAGCCTGAATCCTTAACAAGACTCTATTTCATGAAGTTCTTGCAATTCTTCCTCCAGTCATTCTCTAAACACCAACTTCCTCTCTTCTCTTTCCAGCCCCACCTATAAATGTAGAGCAAAAGCTGTTGTTGCTATAGCTTCCCAAGATTTTAGAATAACTTGCATAGGTTGAAGGGAGAGGTGGGGTGAGACGAGATGGTTAATTTTGCTTCAGTCTCCTGTCCCATTCCAAACAGTTCTCTCTAAGCATCTTATTCAGCTGCCATATTTCCCCCTGGAGTGAGATTCTTCACAGTATCTCTCCAGCCTCTTGGGCAGTTTCTATTTTTGTGCCAAAAACAGCATCTCTTTGAAAGGTAGTGGAGACAAAGCTTCCAAAGTAGTTCTTCTATGGATCTTTATGTAAACACATCTGAGGGCTTTCAAATGGAGAGCTATGACTCCCAGAAAGAGTTTGATTCCCTTTCTCTCCATTTTCCCAATGAAGGCAGATATCTCCCCGATCCCAGACAAGTGGCTCACATACTCAGCTGGCTGAGAACACCCAGATAGGCTGTGCATCAGCATGATCTCGGTCCTCCATGTACTGACCCTGCTCCCCTTCTTTGCCTTACTGTTGCCTTGTTGGACCATCACTGCTGAGCATGAGAGGTGGGGTGGGAGGGCCAGGATTGGGTCCCTGGTACCTGTGTCTCCCAGGGTCAGGACAGTTCTGGCCAAATTTAGAGGCACAGGAAGAATCAGAGTCATTGAGAGGAACTAGGCTCAGGCTCAAGGACTGACAAGGCCAGGCTGTGGTTGGTACAATAACAGCCTTCAATGATGCTTCTCTGGGAAACCACCCTCCAACAGGACAAGGCATGGTCAGGCCTGAAATCTGGACTAGACCCATAGGCTGGGGCCACGGAAGCCAAGTTCTCTCTTCCCATGAGGCTGCTGGAGCGTCAGGCCAGGAATGCTCTGCTGCAGCCTTTGGGACAGGATTGGGACAAGGTTTTCTCAGCCTAAGCTCTCCCCACTCTGTTTCTATCACTGCTGAAAAGAGCAGAAATAGCTACTCACTTGGTCATCCTTCATCATGTCCCCCCAGGTTACATCCGGTAAGAACAGAGTTGGACCCTGAGCGGAGTGGCCCCAGGGAAGTGGTGCTCCGGAGACCAGATTTCTCCTGCCCCTTTCCACACTCGCTGAGTTTCTGCTCTGTGCCTGACACCGCTGGGTGCTGGAAGGTCAGACATACCTGGGACACGCCTGTCCTCAAGATGCCCAAAGGCCAATGGGAAACAGACCTAGAACAAATATAAGCCACGTGCTGCTGCTGTTGCAATGTGCACAGAGGACAATGGTGGGAAGATGAGGCCCTTACGCTGTGGCCTGAGTTAGAAGAGGCGTTGAGAAGAGGCCTGCGGAGCTGGGTCTTGCAGGATGTTAACTTGAGCTGGAGATAACAGGTGGGGAGCTGCGGTTTAGGCTGGGAATGGAGAGCTGGATCTACACAGCCAGTCTTCCCTTTTGTGGTTTTAGATGAGAGATTCTGGGTGGCCAGGACAGTTCTCAAGCAGGAGGATGAGAAGAAAAGCAGGAAATATGGAAGAAGCCCTTCACGGATTTATCACATAAAGGAGAGATAAGAAACTGAGATGGCTTAAAATCTGACTCCTCCATTTCATACCCCTCAGGGTGTTGTCTTGGGTCTGCCTCTCTCTCCTCTTCTTTCCTCCACTTCATGCCAGACTGAAGACTTGTGGGCTTCCGTGAGGAGGATTCTGAGAGAGCCGTTTTCCTGGTTGAGGGCTCTGCAGGCATCTGAAGAGCAGTGGGGTCCCTGAGTAAGAAGGAACTAGTTTTATTTATTTTTTATCAAAAAGGGCCTTGGAGAGACACAATGAAGATGGAGTGTTTGACCTATGAATTTTCAGTAGCATTTATAATTTTCTCTACGGTCAGGGAAAATTCTTCCTTGAGGCTGATTTGTTATGTTAAATGACCCAAAGGATTCTGACCTGCTTTCACTAAATTTTTTTCTTGGCTCTCTTCCAGTATTGGGAAAACAAGGGAGAAGGCTGAGATCACAGAGCCTGTTGAGAAACCTAATTACAGCCATACCCTGAGTTTAGAGGCCTGCCTCTTTTTCCAGCAAACATCAGCACTGCCCTAGCCCTAAACCTGCGTGTCTTAGGGAGATCATTGTAGAGAGGAATTAATCATGGCTTCTTGCTCTTTCCAAGAGGAAGTAGGTTCAATGCAGAAAAATGAACATGAATTCTGTAACTTCGTGGCGGTTATCAATAGTATTATAATTAAGAATTCAGGTTTTAGAAATAGTTAAACCCAAGATTCACTAGATTTCATTACACTTATTACTAGGTTTAAGGGCAATTTTCTCAAACCAATTTTTTCTAACTAAAAATGTAATATCCATTAAAATAAGAAATAAAAATATTATGAAAAACATGTAGTGTGGAAAGCAAAAAGTTCGCTAATTAAAACTTTCATCCCTCATGATATGCACACCTCAAGCATTTTTAACGCTTGTAAAAATATTTTTTAATGCTTGTAAAAATATTTTTGTCAAATTGTCATATTTACTATCTAATATTATTCAGCCTGCTTTTCCCACCATATCCTGTATATCTTTTTATGTCAGTATATAAAGATGCCTTTTAACTGGTGCATAGTATACTATGTGTAATCATTTAGGCTAATTATTTAACTTTAAGTCTCCATTCCTCATGGTTTCAATGAGGATAATAATTCTTTCTTCATGGAATTATTGTGAAGATTAAATGAGTTTTTATTTGGAAAGGGTTGAATACAGTGTCCATAGTGTATAAATCACTCAAATAATGGTGATAATAAATTAGTTTATGTCTCATATTGACATCCCAAGGGCCTGTAATTTCCATGCGGTCCTGACTCATAAAGTTAAGTATACAAAACGAACACAAGTGTAGAAGGAATTGATGACCAGATATATTTATATCACTGCAAAGGGGACTAACATCTTGCATTGTGGAGGCTAACACTCTTTATTGAATATAGTCCTTGGACAAGATTAATTGAAAGATAAAAATTACTTTGGATCTAAATTATCTACCATGGCATAAATCCCAAAGGTGTTTGCCTAATTTTTTTCCTTAGACATTGTAGACATAACCAAAGCTCTGAAAGGACTAAATTGTTTGTGCAGTGCCAACTCACTGCCCCAACAAGCTGGGGTCTATGATTCTTAACTTTGATGCGGTGGCACAATGGAATGGAAAGTATATTTCACTTGCATCCACCAAATGGAAAGTATATTTGACTTGCATGTTTCCTAGTAGAGGTCTGAGATCTTCTACCCACTGCATCTTGATATTGGAGTCACTAAGAAAACACACACATGCTAGCACTGGTGGAATGATGCTTTCCTCACACTGAGAAGAAACAGAGCAAGAGCAGCTTTAGTAGGAATGTTGGTCTCCCTTGGTCAAGGGTCACTCCCAGTAGTCAACCAGGGCAGATGGCCTAAGCACACCCCTCTGGTGTTTCTCCCCCTTTTCCAGGTAACAGATACAGTGGTGGCCAGGTGCCATATGACATATATGCTTCACACAACAAGAGAACTGGTTGAGTATAAACAGAGAAAGATATTCTCACCCAAGTCCTGCAGAGGCTGTGAAGATTCTTAATCTCTTATAAGAAAATGTTCCAGGGGCCTCCCCAGTGGCACAGAGGGTTGAGCGCTGCACTGTGAAGCTGTCTGCAGCCTCTGCAGCACGGGTTCGATTCCCGGGTGGCAAGGGAGAAACCCACATGGCGCGCAGACCTCTCCTGTCTCGCCCGCTGTTCCCCTCAGCAGTGTCTTCGGTTTGTCTGCCTGTTGTGCTCCCTGCTCTGTCTCTGGTGAATTCTCTCACCCTCCCGTGCCTCTGGCCTGTACCCCAGCTCTTGTATAAATAAATCTTTAAAAAAAGAAAAAGAAAATGTTCCAGGGTCAAAGCCCATTCTTATGTGGCCCAGGGAGGGTTGAAAGACTGCATGATTGAGACCACCTTTCCCAACAACTTAAACAAAAAGACATACTGGAACCTGGGCTCTGCCACTAGCAAGCCTGGATGAGGAGATTTGGTTCTCTCAACAGTAAAGTAGGACAGAGAGCTACCGTATCTCCCAGATAATCTGTGTGGGTTAGGGAAGATAATGAAAACACCTAAGAAAGGGCATTATTCATATATTAAATACACGAATCCATTGTGTTACATAATTAATCATTCATGCTTTTAAGCAGAAAGTGAACTTAATGTGTAAATGAGAAGCTGGGGGTAAAGAGGGTTTTGCCATATTTGTAGAAATATGACAAGATTCTACATTCTGCTATGGGTGAATTGTAGCTCTGGCCTTGTCAGCTGTCTGGGTGGAGGACACTGAGGTTGTTCTGGGAGAGAAACACAAGGACATGTGAGCTTACTCATACACTTGAAATATCTGTGTATCCCAAGACAGTCTGAGTAGAGAAAAATGGGTGACATTTGGATCACTGTAAGGAAGAATTTGTTCATCGGCAGAGCTGCTGATAGAAGGACAAGACCCCACAAGTTCACTGTCATGAAGGGTGTGTGAGCAGAGCTTGGGTGGCCACAAGTCTTAGGTGTTATGGGGAGATAAGCCATAAATAGGTGGCTAGGCCAGATGCCCTTTGAGGTAACCTGGGGCCCTGATATTCAACAATACCATGGTGAGTCCTGAGAAGCAGAAGCAACTGCATGTTTTACTGGCAATGACACAAATACATAAAAGGAAAAGAACTTTGGAAAGTATTATTCATCTCACTGCTTAAAGTATTTTGGTTCTTTTCACGCTAATACAAATGCAAAATTAACACGTTATGGGTTGAATTGTGTACCTTCCACCCCCAAAATATATATTGGCATCTGATTAACTACAGGAAACTCAGAAGATCTTATTTGGAAATAGGGTCTTTACAGAGGCAATCAAGTTAAAATGAGGCCATAAAGGTGCTAGCCCCAAATTACTGGTGTCCTATGGTAATTGGATACAGAGACACAAACAGAGGGAAGCCTATGTGAAGACACAGGAGGATACCATGTGCAGATAAAGGATTACAGTAATGTATCTATAAGCCAAGGGACTCCTAAGGTTACTATAAGCTAGGATAGAGCCGTATAACAGATGCTTCCCTGGCACCTTCAGAGGGATCATGGCCCTTTAACTCATGGATCTTGCACATCTGGCCTCCAGAATTGAGAGACAATAAATCTCTGTTGGTCTAAGCTACTGATATAGTGGTATTTTGCTACCACAGTGAGAGGAAAGAAATAGGAAATTGTCATATTATTGTTCTAGGTGCCGTGGCAAAGAAAAAAAAAAAAACATGATATACATGAAGAAAAAAAGAACAAAACAACGCCTACCAGAGTAAAAGTGGTAAAACATTCTGAGGAAGGTAAGACAATCTATAATAAGGGGCAAGCTTGACCATTATAAAGTGACCAAGTGTACAGATAATTACATTTTTATATGTGTGGAAAAACAAAACCACAACAGCAAACACATTATGCATCCCTCCAACCCCAGAGGACGTTTAAGGGTTCTTTAACTTCCAGTCAGCTTATTGCTGTCTTTCTGTGTGGAGTGTAGATCTGACTGTAAGATAGTGAAAGGAGGTCACAGCTGCAGCTGTCAAAACACTCCCTAGGTGATGTAACTGACTGTAGAAGGAGCCCTGTCCTGTTTCTGTCTGGGTTTGGGGGCAGAGACAGAGTGTGGGTTTCAGCCTCACTTACTTGTTCTCAAATTCACGTGCCCTCTGGGAAGCACCAGAATAGCTCTGTGGAAGTTCAAGCTCCTTCCACACCTCCCACAGCCAGCGAAGGTGTTGCAGGGCTGGCAGGGTGTGGTGCTGAGCATGGGCATAGGATGAGGGCAAGTATTCTGGGAAGAAGAAAGAACTGTGCCTCTCCCTTCTTCTTAATCAATCCCAACACTTGTTATCTCTTCTGCAATTGTAATTTTTGGAATCTTAGACCTGGAAGCTCTGACATTCTAGAACTCTTTGTAGAGGAAAAAACTGATACATTTTAGGAGTGGGCATGGGGTTTTGATGGCATTGTGGGCAGGGTTCAGAGCTAGGTGAATCCCCCCTAATGTTTGTCCCCCTCATAGTATGGAGGCAGAAGCACCCAAGGAACAGTAGCCATATGGAATAGAGCATCACAAGATGATTAGACTCATGTAAATGTGAACTGGAAAATGTGACTTTTGCCTCAAATGGATCACTAATGTCCTCTTAAAACCTAAATGTAAGCCTTAAGATATTTCCATGAGCTGGCCAGCTCTTTTTTAAAAAAGGAAACTTGGAAAAGGAGGGAGGGAGAGAGAGAGAGAGAGAGAGAGAGAGAGAGAGAGAGAGAGCTAGCTTACCCAAAGGTGCCAGGTCTGTCAGCAACATGTGCCCACAGATTCATGGGAGAAAGGCAAGCAAAAGAGGAGTGGGCTGATACCTTTAAATATAGTGATTCTGCCCATGGGGAAATGTGCTCCAGTTAATATATTAGGCCTTGATCACCAGCCACAATAGCTCTCTGTTATTTTGGGGAGAAATAAGCAGTAGGAGTGAGCAGAAAGGAGGACAGAGAGGTGGGTTGAGGGGAGAGAGAGCCAAGGTTGTATAAGAAATATATTTGGTTTTGTCCTGGTTCCTGGCTTGAAGCTCCTAAAACTTTTGGAATTTCCTAAGTGACAGGAATATCATTTACTATTCATAACCCAAGCCTTTCAATCACACCCAAATTTATGCTAATGATGTGACTTAGATGGGGTTCC